GGGGGTTTCTCTTTGTTTTTCTGCTCTCTGGAGGGTAATGCTGGGAATATTAGTGATAATTTACTTGCAAAAAGTAGATCATGCTGGCTGACCACTCCCATTTGGGCAGAATCAGTAACGAAAAATAAATATATACATATATTCAGGTACTCGGTATACTCCCTACCATGTCATACCAATGTCTAAAAGGCTCGTATCGTGCAACCAATCAATAGTGTCAGTCAACACGGCACAGCTGCGATCGCGGGCAATGCGGGGCCCCTCAATCCATGAACTCCACCTAAGCACATCCCTCGCGCCTGTCACCTAACCCATCTCTGTATGGCTGTCGTCATTTATCCCCCACGTCAAGTGTCCCAGCAAAAGCTTCCAGAACTCCCTGCAGTTCAGACGACCGGGTTCCTTGGGAGCTCATACGGCACGCGGGAGGGGCTTGGGGTTTAGATTGAGGAAGTCTGCGCCACTACATACTGTGTACTACCGGGTTTATTCGAAAACTTCGGAAACCAACTACGTATGAAAGAAAATCCCCTCTTTTCGCCGCGTATTTCAAACGTTCACCATTGACCGACCAGTGGATGATTGTTTTGACAGGTGTGCTTCGATAAATAGCCAGTGCTTTTGCGGTGTATTGGAGTTGAACCATGAATACGCAGGGCCAATAGGCGAATGCGGGCAAAAGTGCTAAGCATGCCAACCGAGCAGCGAGGGATCTGCAACCCTATGATTGGCCCTTCATCGCCCAATGCAATTTGATATCTTGCACATGATGGGCAAGTCCTTCGATGCTGTCTTGATTTGACAACCCAAATAGTAAATCGATGGCTGAGTACAGGATGTATGTACACTACCTGCCTAGCCAGAAGTCTTTTTCCAATGGTTGTATATACAGTCCTAGGTCACCGTCAATTTAATATTTTCTGCTGACAATCTCGCCTCAATTTCTATACAAACATACAACCACCACCTAACACTTGGGGCCCTCCTCACCACCGACCTCAGACAATTCGAGGGCTAGCATTGCTATAGGTCTCGACTCAACTTCAACCTCTTGCCGCAACCTCTCCTCCTCTCGAGTGCTTTTTGCTCTCCGTTGCCCTACCTCCGCCAGCTCTCTAGCTTGACCCGGCACAACCTGCCGCGATTCGTAGTGGTTCGGTATCTTGGTGGTCTTGTCTTAGTATTATTAGTATTATTAGTATTTTCTTGCAGCGTTGCTGGACTCGAACATAGTCCTTGGGGAAGACGGCGGTTGGCTTCTTGTCATGTCTTGCTCTCGTCACCATCTCCAGCACTTCAATTGTCTTGTTGTGAATGATTTCTGTCCTAATCAGACAATACAGGGCCCAACACTTTTTCATCTAGGTGATAGCAAAAAAGACCAAAAGGATCATGTCACGACGTGAACCACCACTATATAATCAAGGCAAAAAACATGCTCGCAATCGTTGGGAAAAGACCACGAGCCAATGCCTGTTTGCTCACGCAGGAGGACCGGTGCCATGTAGATAGAGTACCAGCCATGACATATTAAGGTTTCTGTGTAATGAAGAGGCCTTTATCTGAGCTTGACTATAAGCGGGTACAAGCTGGTCACGTTGTTGGCCAGCTGTCACTTCCCCAGGCTGTCCGAATTATCAGCGTTGATTGGGCTGCTTGGGAGTCGTGAGCCTTTAGAAAGCTTTACTTTTGCACTGCAAAGGTAAAGGTGTAAATTTGCATCCTAGAAATTCGCAACTTAATGAGCTTTTGGGTTCATTTTAATGGCGAATTTGTTCATCTTTCTCAAAGACACGAATCAGCAATTCGCTATACCGGGGGGCGGGGGCCTTAGTACTTACCTTGGGCATTGAGGTCGCAAAGCAGCACGCCTGCAGGATACGGTGGCTCAGGCAGCCGCAGACAATTTTCCAAGTCGAGCGTGTGAGATCACAAGCCTGCGCTGATCCACATGGATTGTAAACTTGCACAAACCAGGCGCAATCTTCCAAACTGGTTTGATTCCCGTGCGCTCCCCATCTTGAGCCACGGCTTAGGCATCCGCCATTACTTTTCGTCTGTCGAAGATGTTGATTCTGACTGCGCCCGACATTCGCATCGTCACAAAGCCATGGAACAATCAGGAGAAAACATTGAGCTCTCCGAAGCAAGCCCACGGTCTTCGAGCAGTGAAGCATGGCATGATGCAAGAGACGCACAAGAATCTCCCATTGAGACGCGGGCATTGAACGATCATTTACCGAATCTCCAAAAGCTGTGGTGCCACATGATGAAATGCAACAAGCCCGCAATGTCTGCGGTCAGTATTTTGACCATATGCGGTTTTCCCTTGCTCATCTTGGGCACTTGGGCAGCCATTGCAGCAATTCGTGTTGCCCTCTGGACGCAGTGGAAAGATAGTATCGAGTGGTGCGAGAAGGTAAGGCAGGGCCTCTGCCGAGTCCTTGACCATGCGACAACACGCTAATCTCAATAGCACAACTGGAACTATACGGGATGTGATTCTCTTGAAGGCAATCCTTTGACATTACCGAGCAGTCCGCCGACAACTAAACGATTTGTCACGGCATTGAGAAACGAAAAGGAGAGCTGTAACTTCTTGGGAGGCATTGGCATCGCAGCCATGAGCGTCATCGGAAGCACGCTTTATCTACTCGTCGTCATCGTGCTTGTCTTGGTTCGGGTTCCCTGTCAGGGCCGAAACGATTCTAGCAACGTCAGAATTCAGAATTCTTCCGGTGTTCAGCATGATAAAACAATAGATGAATCTGCTGCCATGACAAGAATCAAATCTCTCGAGGATGAGCTCGCAAGCTGGAGGGCCGAGGCCGTCAAGGCAAAAATGGAGCATGATGATCTGAGTATTCAGCTTGAGATCGCTGCCATTAGCTTATTCGGTGGCAAGGAGAAGATGTATGAGGAAGTGGCTGACAGATTTCGGGACAGGCTGAGGGAGCTCGAAGCCGAGCTGCAATACGAAAAAGCCAGAAATGATGTCCGAGATCTCGTCGAGCAGACGAGCGTATTTGTCGGCTCGAGAGCTGGTAACGATCTAGATTCCCACCGCGATGGAATCAGTAGAGATCTGTCCGCCCACAACGAAGGAATTCGGAAACGGCTTGTTGTAATGAAGAGCATGAATAATGTGCAATAATATGCAATATATAAAGGTGCTCGATATTTGCGAAGGGCGAATGTCGCCGCACCATCACTCCCACCAGCTGCCACGTTGATGGTCTTACACCACATTGTTAGATAATGGACTTTGAAAAAAATATCCTCGTTGCCACAAACGTTCGATCGATAGATAATAATCAATATTTAAAATATACCCTAAATGTGGACAAATTCCCATTATTCAATGTGTACCGTAACAACTAATCATAATCATATAAGTGCATAATACTGCTTTAATAACTACGACGGTTCAGAGCTCAGTTTATAATAAAATGCTTTTGGGTTTAGCGGCAAATACGCTTACGCCTGCCCGATATCTGCCTACCCCATTTATAAATTTCGGAAAATTTATTTTTTTCCTTTTTATATTACCGCTATAACCTAAAAATTTTATTTATTAAATTATAATAGCTTTTTTTTTTAATTATAAACCGTAAATATTAAATTATATTTTTTTAAGCTTTTATTTATATTACGGTAATAACCGAAGCTTATATCGTTATTAAATCTTATCGTAATACGCGCGCGTTTATTTTAATATTAATTAAACCTTTTTAAATTTAATTAAGCCTTAATAAAATTAAATCCGTTTATTTATTTATTTTTTATTACGTTTTTATTATTATAGGCTTTAGCAAATATTATAATTTTTGCGTTATTTATTTTTAATATTACCGATAATAAAAAACCTAAAAGATTTTATTTTTAAAAAGTAAAAGCTAAAAAATACTTTTATAAATATAATTATTTGCAAAATTTACTTTAATTATATAATATAGCTTATTAATTAGCTTTAATAATGCAATAATAATATTATTTAGCGTTTATTCGAAAAAATTACGGTAAAATATATATTTTTTTTTTAGTATATTATTAATAATAATATTTTTAAAGCACTTTTAAATATTTTTATTTAATTTTTAATTAATTTTTTTTTATATTTTTTTAAATATTTTTAAGCTATTTAATTTAATAATATTTAAATATATTTTTATATATTTTTAAATATTTAGTTATATATTTATTAATATTTAGTTATATATATTTAAATATTTAATAATATATTTATAAATATTTAAATATATAAATTTAAATATCGGGCGATATATTTTTAAATATTTAATTATATATTTTTATATATTATTTATATAATTTATATTAAATTTATTTTTTTAGCACGTTTAGCGTTTTTTTATTTTTAAGGTTTTTTAAAAAAAAAGGAAAACCTTAGCTAAGCGATATAATTTTTATACGTATTAAACCGTGCTATATTGCCGCTTTATATTTATTTACCCTAAAAATCGATTTTATCGCCGTTTTAAATAATACGGTTTATTAGTAATATCGCTTGCTAAATAGCTAAAATCCCTTTAATTTATATTTTTTAATAGCAAAAATATTGCTAAAAATATATATTTTAATTATTATTATAATATATTTAAAAAAATATATAGTTTTTACGCTAATATATTTATATATTATAATATTTAAGCTTAATATTTACTAATAATACGAAATATTTAATAGCTATTAAAAATAATCCTAAAGTTTTAAAATATTTTATTAAAGCTTAACGCAAAAATATACAATTTATTAAATATAAGCTTTAGTTGTAATAATTTTAAAAAAAATTCGACCGTAAAAATAAAGCTTATATAAAGCAAATAAATAAAAATAAAAATAAATAAAAATAAATAATAAATAAAAACGAATATATTTATTATTAGCTAAAGTAATACGCTAAATATATAGCTTAAATAAAGTTTTTTTATATTAATAATTATAAAAATATAAAAAATTATCTTTTATAATTAATAATATTTATATTTATAAATACGCTCGTTAAAAAGCGCTAATACGTTTTTTATTATTATAATAAATAACGTATATAAATATTAATTTTTATTTAATAATATAATTTTTAAGTTATAAAATAAAATTATAATTTTATAAATAAATTTAGTTTTTTATCTAATATTTTAATAATACGAAGCTAATTATAATATAAAAAGTTTAAGCTTTTTTATTATTTAAAATTTAAATTTTTAATAATATAAATTAAATTATATTTTTTAAATTTTAATTAAAATTTTTTAAATTTAATTAGCTTTAATTTATTTTTTTCCTTTATTTTTCGCTATATTTTTCCTTTTTCCGGAATATTATCCTAAAATAAAGCGTCGCTATTTTTAATATATTTTGCAAAATCCCGAAGCTTAAATTTGCGAATATTGCGACACCGAGCTTATTATTTAAATTAACGACGAAAACTTGCTTATACCTCTTTTTTTTTTAGTTTTAATATTTTTAACCTTTCGTCGGATACCTATTCCTATTTTTTTAATCCCCGGAAACGCTCGCCTTATGCCTTCCGGCTTTTTTATTAGCATAATACGGCTTTTTAAACGCTAAGGATTTTAAATTATAGCAACGCTTTAAATTCTAACTTTTGCTTAATACGTTTTAAAGGTAATTTAGCATAAAATTAATTTTTAAAAAAGCAACGGAGTTTTAAAGCGTTTTTTTTTATTTTTAATAATTATTTTAAAGTCGACTTTTAGGTTACTTTTTAGCGTAATATTTATAAGCCTATAAGGCTTAATAAACGTATTATAAAACCTTTTTATAATACCGAATATTTAAATATTATTTATATAAAAAAACTAAAAAAAAACTAAATTATATTTAAAGCTAATTATTTTAATTATCGCGAATATATTTATATATTATTTTAATAATTTAATTTTTTTGCTATTATAAATCGATTTAAATAATAATTTATCGCTTTTATAAAGCTTGCTAAAAATAAAAAAAGCAAATTTAAAAAAAAAAGCGATTATTCGCTATTTTTTTAGGATTAAAAGCGGCCGATTATTATCGAAAAATTGCGTATATTTTATATTAATATAAAAATAGCAATGCTAAATTTTAGAAAAAATGCAAAGCCTTTAAAAATTCGCTTTTAGCTTTTTATTATTATATTTATCGATAAGCCAAATATTAAACCTTTTTTGCCTAATACGCTTATCGATAAATATATAAAAAAGTTAAATAAATTTTAGGACCGCGTTTTTAATTAATATATTTAAACGGCCCGTGCCCGCGTAGGTTTATCGGTATTAAAAAAAATAAAAGGAAACGGTTTATTATTAAAAAAAATAATTAAAACTTATTAAAACGGAAAAGCGGATAAATAAGCTAAAAGCCAAAAAGCATTTTTAAAGCATAATAGCCGCCGATAAATTTATTTAAAATTATAAATATATTTTAACCGATAATAATAATAATAATAATTTTATAAAAATAAATTTATTATTGCTAAAAAATATAAAAAAAATATTATAATTATAAATAAAAATAATAATAAAAAGCGGAATAAAATAATAAAAAAAAGCTAAAAGCGAAAAATAAAAATATTTATTAGCATTTATAATAATACGCGCTGCTAATAAAAGATAAATTTAAATTAAGGAAAATTAAATAAAATAAATATAAATATTTTTATTTACGTTAAAATAAAATTAATTTATTTTTTTTAAAAAAAAAGAATTATTAGTATTTCTTTTTTCTAATATTTGCAAATCTTTTTTTAAATTATTTATTTATATATTTTTTAAGGTTTATTAACGCAAAACATTTTTTTATATATTAATAAATATAAATTAGGTTTAAAAAAATTTATTATTATTATTAATATTATAAAAAATTGCAAAATATTTAATTAAATTTAATCGCCTTTAATTAAAATAATTTAATATTAATTAAACTAAAGGTATATATTTTTATTTTAATATTTTAATCGTTTTAATAAGCGATCCACCTTATTTAAATTAATATTTATTTTACTTATATGTTATCGAAATTTATTTTATCCGCTTAAATTTTTATTTAATAATTTTAAACGAAATTTTATCCTTTAATTTATATATTTTTTTAACTATTAACGCAAATAAAGATATTCGCTTAATAAAAGTTTATTTTCGCGTTAATAATATAAAAGGGAATAAACGAAATCTTTTATTACGCTTTAATAAATAAATATAATATAATCCGGAAAATATAAAGCAAAATTAATGCCGTCGGCCGTTATTAGCTCTTTTATTTATTTTAAACGGTTTTAATTTATATTAACTTTATATTTAATAGCGCGAAAATTATTAATTTAGCGATATAAAGCATTTAATTAGCCGTTTACGATATATTTGCGGTTTTTTTAAAAGGCTATTATATAAAAATTTTATTCCGTAATAAAAGTATTTAGCTTAAATCGGATTTAAGGTATAAAAATATATAAAAAAGCAATTTAGTTTAATATATTATATATAAATTATTATCCGTGCTTAGTTAATATACGGAAATAATTTTATTATTTTATTAATTTTTAAAAAATACTAAAATATAATATTTAAATATATTCGTATAATAATTAAAGGAGCTTGTAATCTGGGGTTTCGATATCACTTAATGGGAGCGGTATATAGGCATAAATAAATAATTAAAAATAGTTTAATTTTATATAAATAAAATATTTTAAGGTATAATTAATGGATTATAAACTTAGGCACAGGGAAGCGTTCATATAATTCGTAGAATCAGGCTATAAAAATAGTTATAAGGCTATATAACTGATTTATTAAAGCTTAAAAAAAATAACTAATTACGGAGGAATAACTACCTTTTATACTTATAAAATTAACTAATAAAAATATTTTAAAATATATTACTAATAAATTAGATTTATAATTAAATTAATTAGTAATAAAATTAATTTATAATCGAAAAAACCATCGAAATTTATAAATTTTTATAATATAGGTTACCTTATAACCCTAGGATTATTATAGCTAGGTATATTAGCTATATTTAATAAGGTTTAATTTAATAAAACGTTTTATTAAATTCTAATAGATTTTAATAGCTATAATAGCTATAATAATTAATTATAATAATTTATTAATTATATAATATTATAAATAA